CAGACGTGTGCTCTTCCGATCTTCAGAATAAAGTATAAAATATCTCGTAAATTATTAATTTTTCGATAATTCCACCGAACTATTTTTATATGCAGAATAATTAGAGGATTATATTAAAGTAAAAAAATCATTTAATTTTATTTCAAAAAGTGAATATGACTTTTATATCTTTTTAGCGCCTCTAACGGTTTTTATATTAATTAATACAATACTTAAAAACTTATAAATACTTAAAAAAAATATTTTTTTATTTTTAATAAATGTCTTTTAATCTTTTAATATTAGTATTATAATATTAATATAATAATATTGTAAATGAACAATTTTTTAAATAAAAAATTGCATTATAAATGTTGATTTTTTTAAAGTCAAATAGCGGATATCAATTTCAATATTGTTGTAAAAAAATAAAACATTTGAAAGAGTTATGTAGGTTCGTTTTCCCCGGTCTGCTGCTACATAAGTTACCAATTCTAAGATTTCAAAAATTCATAACTGAAAAATTTTAGGTGCATTAGCACTAACGCAAATTAAGGCACATATATATTTTTGTCTTTATAATTACCAAAAAAATTGACATCAAAATCCGAGATACATTTCGTAATATCGCTCCTTTATTAAACGTCGCTCATTATATTTAATTATTATAAGAATATATGTAAAAATTATTGAAATAAGAATACTAAAATATCTTGACAGTATAACAATTACATATATAATAAACCGAGACATAAAGCGGACGTCCATGGTATCTAAAAAGGACGTCCTCTGGATATACAACGGACGTCCTATGAATATACAACAGACGTTCTATGGATATGTATATATCCGGAAATTATTATTGGTGTAATAATTTTTAGATGCGTTCTTAAATGCAATTATAATTAATGTATTAATGCATTATTCCAATTATTGATTCTGCCCCGATCAAATTCGAGTATATACATATATATATATATATATATATATATATATATATATATATCCGGACATCCAGAATATGACCTTTGGACATTCCGAGGACGTCCGAAATACGGGGATATAAATAGGACATTTGAGGACACAAATTGGACGTCCGAAAAACGTCTACGTGTTGTGTGGGTAATTCCATATTTCAGTCATTTTAAATTGCGCGCCGAATTAATTTCGTGCTTGTAACGTAATCATAAACCGAAGTTGGAATAGTGAGATCACAATTAAATCGATCTTCATTACGATGGTTTTTAAGATGCTTAATCGCATCGTATTGAAAATCGATTTAATTGTGATCTCATTATTCCGGCTTCGGTTTATGATTACGTTACAAGTACGAAATTAATTCGGCGCGCAATTTAAAATGACTGAAATATGGAATTACCCACACAACACGTGAACGTCCTTCGGACGTCCAATTTGTGTCCTCAAATGTCCTATTTATATCCCCGTATTTCGGACCGACTGATTTTGTTCTTGACCTTGACCCTTAAAAAGTTCAAGGCCACTGACGTTTCCCGTCGCTCATTGTTTATTAAAAAGTTATTAATTAACATAATAAGTTATATGCTCATTTAATCATATGTCATGTTTATGGGATTTAGTGGATTATTCGCTAAAAAGTTATTAACAAAATAAGTAACAAAAGAAAACTGAGTCGACAAGGCACACAGGGGATA